TATTATTAATATTATTTTAATTAAATAATTAATTAAATAAATATTAAATTTTATTTTTTAATAATAATTAATATTAAAAATATATTCTTAACTTGTGACTTAAGCACATAAATTCGGAAAATCCAAAAATAAAAAAAGAAATAAATCCCTAAGAGAAAATTTGTAGGGTGGAATTTCTCTCCTCATCCTCCAACCAAACACACTCTACGTGCAAAAGGCTGTTCTTAGTTGGTACACCACTTCGCATAAAATTAGATGGACCACAACACAAGGAAAAGCGGACGGTGCTACTCGGAGATTCCCTGCAATCCACTTCGCATAAAATTGTGGCCTGAAGTGAAAGCCGCCGGACAATTTGGTATAAAAAGGGTTGAAACTTGAAACTGAAATCATAGTGCTTCGCTTCCACCCAATCTAATCAAAGCTCTCACCTTTCCTTCTCCGAGCTCCAACCCCGAGATTTGGTTATCGACGGTTAGCACTTTTCCTCCCTCTTTGATTTCTGGGATTGTAAAGTTTTTATCTTTTGTTTCGTTTATGGAAAATGTGCAAAAAGAAAAGAAAATTATAATATTTCTGATTATATCCTTCTAGTTCCTGCTTTGTGGTAGTATGTTTCAGTTTGAATTTTGAGAACCCTTTTTAACATTTATTTTCTCACCAACCAAGCAGGTTATTTGGTTTAGTTCAAAATTCCCAGAAAGATTTTATTTTTTCCCAATTTTTTTCTCATTAAAATTTAACTTTGGCTAATCTTTCTGTAATCTGCATCTGTCTGGTTGGTATCATGTGCTGACAGCAGCATTAACTATCTGTTAAGGGCGCCCCCTTTACGTTCTATTGAGAAGTTGTTGCTATTTTTTCTACGGTTTAACTAGGATTTGCTCCTTTAGTAGTCATTAGTTTCTATTGGTCTTGAGTGCAGTTTGTTATTTCTTGTAGCTCCACATTATGACAGAAAGGGGAATCAATCTGACTAATTTTTCATTACTATATTCCTGAGTTTGCTGAAAAGCTGTGGATAGGAATTTCGCCATTTAAGGAAGCAAACTTATTGAGATTCTAAATCATGCTATAAACTTTCAGCTTTTTTCAAATAAGGATATGAAATTACTCTTTTATTTTGATTAAGATTGCAGTTTACCAGGTCATCATCGCCATCCTTAAATAGAAATATGGCAAAGTTTGTTTCCTTATTTAGAAAAAATGCAAAGTTCATTCCCTTATTTAGAAAAAAGAAGAAGAAGAAGAAAGTTTACAATCTGATTTAGAAACCCAAAAAAGTTTCTATCTTTAAATAGAAAAAATGACCAAGTTGGTATCCTTATCTACACCTTTTCTTGAGTTTGTGTAGTTATACAAAACCTATTTGCATCCTCTTCATTGCTCCACTCTATGTAGCTACTATCCAAGAATTTACCTTAAGTTGGATATGAAAATGGGAGTTCATTTAATCATGTAACATCAGGATACATCTTTTTCAAACCAATAACATTTTGAAAAGGAGGTGCTCTATGGGACAAGGTGGTTTTTATTATCATGTATGATACTTATACTTTACATTTCTAATTTAGGACTGGGTATTATTGAAGAGATGGGAGTCACTTCCATACAAACCAGTGATCTCATGGTTTGTGGAATCAATCACTGGGGTTGATGTTGTCAAAGATGGAGGTGTTGCTTTCTGCCCTAATACTATTTTGCTTGCCCTCATTTGTATTGCCTAATTCACAAGGTAGGGAGCCCTTCTTATTCTGATTAAAATGAATATCATTAGTTCACTTGGTGTGGTAAATTAAAAATTAACATCATCCAGAAAATGGTTGTAAATTAAAAACTAACATCATCTGGAAAATGGTTAAGGGTAGTGCACTAGCTCACTTAAGGTAACTCAAGCTATGATCAAATTAGTATCTCGTCCAGATAATCATTATGAAGTAGTGGGTCCTAGTTTCTAACTCACTGAGGAGAAGCAATTCACTGGATATCTCCAAGAAAGAGTAATAAAAGTATGTAAGAATTAAGGAAGAATTTTAAGAATTTTTTTAATCTAAATTTTGATACGTAGCTGTTTCTCAGATGGAAAAAATGAAATGCTTTTAAACCAGTCCTCACACCTCTCCACCACCTCCGTGGCAGGAAGAAAAGAAAAGGAATAAGAACTTTTCCAAAAATATTTTTAAATCCTTGAAAGTAGGTTGCAATGTTATTTAATTTAACTCTCAAGAAACTTGGACCAATTTGTGCTTGAACAGGTCATGTCTGACAAAAAGTAGTTCCACAGAGAGGGGGTTGTTATTTCCTCATTAGATTGTCAATATCTCTATTCTGTTTCAGGAGAGGCACTGTTGGAATTGAAAACTTCACTGGGTGCTCCAGACAATCAGTTGACAAATTGGTATCCAAATCAAATTAACCCATGCACTTGGTCAAATGTTATTTGTGATATTGGTTCTAATGTAATTTCGGTGTAAGTTGTTCTTTGATTTACTCTTTTTTTAAATTAATTTTTGATGCATGCTAATAGCATTTGCCTGTTAACAATGCACTCTTAATTTCTTTGTTTACTTTTTTACTAACAAATGTTTACACTCTTGTTTGCAGATCATTGTCATACATAAACTTTTCAGGAACTTTGTCCCCTAAAATAGGAATTCTGAACACTCTTAAAACACTGTATGTATGGACTACATTGGGGGCAAAAATGCATTTTATGGGTTAGTGTATCCACAGGAAGCAATCTGTTTATTTTTTATGTTTATTCTTGATGCAGTACGCTGAAAGGAAGTGGTATAACTGGTGAGATACCTGAAGAGTTTGGAAACTTGTCGAGTTTGACCAGATTGGATTTGGAAGATAATCATTTAACTGGTAAAATACCACCTTCACTTGGTAACCTTAAAAAGCTTCAGATCTTGTAAGTCATGGTGTTCTTAGCTTCTGAAGTGTGTTTCCGTAACTTTTCTTTTGTCATAAAATGCTCATGAAAAGTTTTTCCTTTTTATCCCATGCAAGCAGGAGCTTAAGTCACAACAATCTTACTGGGGTAATCCCTGAGTCACTTTCTGGTCTTCCAAACTTGATTTATCTGTAAGTCATTATATCTGATTTATATTTAGAAAACATGTCTAAATAGCAATTGCCTTTCCTTTAGTTGAACTGTGAATAAAATTGCTCCATGCTTTTGCAGTGTCTGTACATTATTCCTTTTAACTTAGGTGGAGTTGTCTTTCCTTAACATCATTTTAAGTTTTTCACAGCAAGGTTGACATTGTATTTGCAGCCAGCTTGATTCAAACAATCTTAGCGGTCAAATTCCCGAACCTCTGTTTCAAATTTCAAAATACAAGTATGACCAACTTTCATTAGAATCAGTTTTCATTGTTTAGCTGGTTACACACAAATTGCTTACTTCTTCTTATATGCTTCTATATCTTTACCCATTTCTCTCTTTTTGTTTCTCATGGGTTTTCTGTTTCAGTTTCACAGAAAACAACTTAAGTTGTGGTGAAAATTCTGTGCACCACTGTGTATCTGCTAATTATCTAGGTAATTGAATTAACTCACTTGACCTCATGTTACATTTTGTTTTTTTGATGTTTGATGTTTTTGAAGATATAGCTGAAGTTTCATTGCTTTTTTTCATGACCAGTTAATTGCTGAGAGTTTCTCTTTGTTAGCAGGTGGTTCTCAAAAGCCCAGGATTGGAATTATTGTTGGAACTGTTGGAGGACTTGTAATACTTCTTTTCAGTTGCTTATTACTTTTTCTGTGGAGGGGTAGACGGAAGGGCTACAAACATGAAGCATTTGTGGATGTTGCTGGTTTGTACTAATTTTCTCTTGATCAAAACTCTTTGAACAGTGACAAAATAACTCTTTGCATTTATCATTTTTTGTAACAACTTTTTCTCTTCTTTTCTTTTTTACGATGAACCTTCTTGTTAGAATTTATAAAATAGGGAGACTTTGATAACTTAATTAATACTTAGTAAATCTGAATCAAGCTCAATCATTCATGGTATATTTTTAATTCTGTTGCGTAATTACTGATTTGTTGATATTATTCATCTGATTTTTGGTCTGCTCATTTTTTAATGGTGAGAATGATGGAAGTAACTGAATATCCTTTGCTCAAAATGGTATTGTTTTTGTTCCCTTTCGGTTCTTTATGTGATATACCTAACAATAGCAAAATATCATACATAATTTCTGGTAAGTAGATGGGTTTTAAAGCAAGATGAGGTGTGAAATAACCCGAATCATTGATATGTTATTTGAAGCTGATCCTCATGCCTTTCATGCGGACAGACATGGAGTGTAAAATATGTCATTGTCTTATTGTATCTAATTTTAAAAGGTTGAATTTGATGAGAAAGTTAGATTGCTTTTGGCTTAGAAACAATGCAAAGTATGATTTACTAGCCACTATGAAAACACACAAAGTAGATTACATAACCAAGTTTCTAAATTTAAATTATTGTTACTCAAGATTGCTTTGATATTTGCATTTTGAAATGTCTATTTTGCATGATTGTCTACCCATAAATCCATTTATGTCTTGGACATTCTAACCCAAAGATAAATCTGCACTTTTTGTTAGCAGATTATGTTCTAAAATACCATTTTAAATCGTGTGCTCAGGTGAAGATGACAGAAGAATTACTTTTGGTCAACTGAAAAGGTTTGCATGGAGGGAATTACAGTTGGCTACAGATAATTTTAGTGAAAAGAATGTCCTTGGACGGGGAGGTTTTGGAAAGGTCTATAAAGGAATTCTTGCTGATAACACAAAAGTAGCTGTGAAGCGATTAACTGATTTTGAAAGTCCTGGTGGAGATGCTGCTTTCCAACGTGAAGTTGAGATGATAAGTGTAGCTGTTCATAGGAATCTGTTACGGCTGATTGGCTTTTGCACAACACCAACAGAACGCCTTTTGGTCTATCCATTTATGCAGAACTTAAGTGTAGATCATTGTCTACGAGGTATTAGTTTTAAAATGGAATGTTTGAATAGTACCTTAGATTTTGGATTTTATTCGGCATGATTTTATGTCCTAGGTTTAAGCTCTTATACTCTGCTCGCTATGAAAAATGGAAAGGTTGAAAGTGATAGAATTTCTTATATTGCTAATATTAGTAAAACCGCAGTTCTAGGTAGTTTAACTTGAAGGTTATAGAAGTGTGAATTGGGAAAGAACATGTGATGTCAATGGTTTTAATGCCATTTTTGGTCTGCATTTGTGATTGTCAAATTTTCTTTAGCTGGTTGCTGTAATACGAAGTTCAGATAATTGTAGTTAATTGTAGATAGAATGAACGTATGCACCATAATTGGTTAACCAAAGTTAGTATATTCTTCTTATGAAATGTGGTACTTCCCTGAAGCAATTGCATGATTTTCTCCTGTGATATTCAAATAATTGTACCACTGTGAAACCACTGTCCATTAGAAGGCAGGCCTTTTCCTATACATGACATTGGCTAGAAATTTTTATCATTATTGATTCTTGCAATAGAAATCAAAATCATCATGTTCACACTTTAAGTTTTGGATGAATCAGAGAAAGGTATTCAGAGAGAAGGAATCTAAGATCTTGTTATTCTAATATTCTCAAAGCTATCTTAGTATGAGTACTAATTTCATAAACAAATGTTTAGCTTATCCCTGTGATCATTTGCCTTGAAAAATGGGTTATGCTACTTGCAGGGGATGAATTAGGTAATGGTTGAACTTCCTTTACAAGTATGCTGACACACAATGTTGACCATTTAACTTGTAATTTTAATGTTATATTCTAGAATAGATTGGGCTTTATTTCTTGAATTCTTATAAGCAGTCAACAAATATTGAGACATCATTTTGATAATACCTGGATTATGGAACTGGTGCAGAACTCAAACCTGGTGAAGCGGTTTTAGGCTGGCCTACAAGAAAGAAAATAGCCTTAGGTGCAGCACGTGGACTAGAATACCTTCATGAACATTGCAATCCTAAGATCATCCACAGGGATGTGAAGGCAGCTAATGTATTATTGGATGAAGAATTTGAAGCAGTTGTTGGTGACTTTGGTCTAGCAAAGCTGGTGGATGTGAGACGGACTAATGTGACAACCAAAGTTCGTGGGACAATGGGCCATATAGCACCTGAATACTTGTCCACTGGGAAGTCATCAGAAAGAACAGATGTGTTTGGTTATGGGATTATGCTTCTAGAGGTTGTTACAGGGCAACGTGCTATTGACTTTTCACGCTTGGAAGAAGAAGATGATGTCTTACTGCTTGATCATGTAAGATAACTTTAATTCCTTACTATCTTTGCTTTTGCATGTCTGTTTATGTTTTTCCCTTTGTTCCAATATCTACATACACTCTTATTGTTGTATTGACTTGCACCACACATTCCTTCTCATGTGTTCAGTGTTCTGAGAAACCTTATCATGTTAACACTTTGAATCAGTTTTCACATCCTTCAGTAAATGAACTGTATCAGGGCTGAGTTTGCAAAGTATTGGGTCAATGTGTTTGGAAGGGATGGCTGGGATTGGTGTTCGTGGCACAATACCCTGTCTAAACCTTGGGTTGAACTTTCTGTTCATGAGAGTGTTTAGCACAACTAGAAAAGGATGACAGTGTAGTGTTAGCATATCAGAAGCATCACATCTCATATCTGGTCTGCTATGCTATTCTTAAATAGAGGATGCAAAATTTGTCAATGTGCAGTGGACAATTAATACCCTCTGGAAGGAATTCTTTTTCATGGCCTGATTCCAAGTAGAATCCAATTTTGTTTTTATCTTTTATGCCATTTTGGATTTAGACTTACTGGATGGGGGTATTCTGTTTTTATTCGTCTGTGAAGGTCAAGAAGCTTGAAAGGGAGAAAAGGCTAGATGCCATTGTAGATAGTAACCTCAATAGCAATTATGATGTACGGGAGGTGGAGACAATGATTCAGGTTGCTTTGCTCTGCACACAAGCATCACCAGAGGAACGTCCAGCAATGTCAGAGGTGGTGCGAATGCTGGAAGGAGAAGGGCTGTCCGAGAGGTGGCATGAATGGCAGCATCTCGAAGTTACTCGTAGGCAAGAGTATGAGAGACTGCAGGGGAGATTTGACTTTGGAGAAGATTCATTGTATAAGCTGGAAGCCGTTGAATTGTCTGGAGGAAGATGACGCAACAGATTTCCCTGCATCTTAACATTCTAGTTCCTGGGTTTTGCCAAAACTTAAGGAAATGTTTTTCATATATTTGTATGTACACATTATATTGTCTGTAAAAGCTTCTTTTATGTCCTTGTATTTTAAAGAGACCACTGTCCAGATTTCAAATCAGGGATTGTTAGATGGGAACAAGACCGTTAATATCTGGGGGGTCTACCCCTCATCCAAGAGTTTATATTGTGTAATTCCAACTGTAAAATAGTTTTTCATATTTTAAATGTCTTACCTCCAGATCATCCTTGTTAGATGGAAATTACTTCTTGTGGATATAATAGGCTGAATGTTATTCGTTATAAAGTGACATTTTGGGACTGCATGTCTGTATCTGTTGTCATTTGCATTGTCTTCTTTATAAAACCAGAAACATCTTAAAACTGAGTACCAACCCTTGTGCAAATAATTGACTAAAACCAATATTTAGCTCTTCACCTTATAAAATTGGTAGGTTCTAACTCCTTATCTTACAAAGTTAATAGGTTTTAGTCCCTCATCTTATATTATAACACTTTTAACATTTTATCTGTACGAATTAAAGAAAATAGTCTTTATTTAACATCAGGTTTTAATGTTCTATTAATTCTATTAGCTGATTGTCAGTTTTATTAATTGATTGTTAGTTCTGTTAGTTGATTGTTAACATCCGTTAGCATTCTGTTAATAAAACTAATATATAAAATTAAATTTAAATTTCATATTTTTTATAATAGAATGCTAACAGATATTAACAGTCAATTAACAGATGTTAACAGTCAATTAATAGAATTAACAGGACGTTATAACTTGATGTTAGGTAAGAGTTATTTTCTTTAATTCGTATCGGTGATGGGCTAAAAATATCATAATATATGGTAAATGGTTAAAAACTATCAACTTTGTAAAGTGATAAGCTAAAACTTACCAACTTTGTAAGATAAATGGCTAAAACTGTTATATTATAAGGTGAGGGGCTACTAATTTTGTAAAGTGAGGAGCTAAATGTTGGTTTTTGCCTAACTTGGCACCCTAAAAGCAAGGAAACTAATAAATAGGAGGAAAATGGTTGGAATAAAAATGGGTAAAAAAAAAAATTAATCACTGTTTATATTATAAATTGTAAAAATTTAAGATAATGTTATGTATAAAAATTTTTAAATCGATGGAGGAGATTAAGTCATGTCATATTTATTATTATGGGTTCCATGACAGATCAGTTGCCACATTGGCAAAAAAAGAAGATAAAGATAAGATTTTACTGTGTAATTACTTTTTTGAGTTAAAAATGGACTGTTTTAGCTGAAATTTAGGAGGAGATTGCAGTTATAGAAGAGAATTATCTGATAAGGGCACAAGTAGTGAAAATATGAGAGGAGATCTAATCAAGTCAATTGTTGAATTATCCACTAACTCAAGAAACCACCCACAACTTTGTAACTACAAAAAGCAGGGAGTTACTACCGGTCAAAGGAGAACAAAAAGGAAAACAAAAAGGAAATTTTGGAAGGAAGAACACACGGCTAACCCTACTCAAACATCTGTAAATTTTCAGACTTTCAATTTCTTTGCAATTGCTTTTAGATTTTGGATTTCAGCACAATTTCTAGTAGATCTAAGTTGTTTTTCATCATTCCAATAGATAAATTAATTCATGTATTCGCTTCAACAATTTCGTTTTATGCAATGAACTTCAATATTTCAAATTTATTCAAAGTACTGTTCCTTTTCTGTTTACAATTAATTTAATATTTATAATAAGTAACATTTCTTCAATAATTACTTATATGGCATTTACGTTTCTTTTTAACTTCAAGCATGTTAATTTAATTTCTGTTCATGTTTGTTTTAGTTTTAAGAAGGGTAGAATCTCCAATTCTACAGTAGTTTAATTTTCATATCTATCAGTAGATAACATTTTAATTTAATAATGAACATAATTAATTTATTTTGGGTACATCTTGTTCTTATAAATTTACTTTAAATTGCATACTATTTAATTTAATTAGAATTTGTTAACTTTAATTCATGGTAGTGTTTAAATCCTTGGAACTGTCTAAGGTAGATTTTATAACCATTCTGCAGGAATTGGAAAGTATCCATCCCTCTTGCAAATCGTTTGTAGACACAGATTTCAATTTTAATCCAACGTTCTACTCATCATCTACAAGGAGGTCAACCGCAATGAAGAAGTGGGTCGTTAAGAAAATTCTCCGTTCCTACTTTTAGCAAAGTGACACGCTCATATCCAGATTTTATACGTGCTAAGCCACTAAAAGATTTTTAGAAAAACAATCACATTTTTATATTTTTTGATATCTCTAATAATAAATTATACAAAAAAATATAATTCTTTTAAAAAAATTTTTTTTCTTCGTTCAATATAAGATTTGAATTTAAAATTTTTATAAACCACCCCAAGGGTATCATCACCTTTAACATGGTGTGAGTCTCGCATTTCGTCCGTAGTTTTTGTGCCTGGTTTTCGTTCTATCCATCATTTCTCTAACAACAAATAGCCCACCATTAATATCCTGGGGTTGGAGGTCACTTTCAAGTTTAACAGTGCACAGAGTTGTTAAACTTCGCAGGGGTGGCATGCACTTGCCATCATATATGATGAAGAAAATTACTAATATTCTTTCAATAATAATGGTTAGGATCAATTATTAGACAAATTTATAGTAATTATTGATCATTGTGTGCGCTTCATGACACATATAGCCAAAGAGACAATGATGGATAAAAACAAGAAACAAATAACAAGATGGTCGAAGGCGATGAAACTAGTAATACAAAATGAGGACCAAATAAGTTCTGTTTATTATAACTGCACTTCTCTAACTTGGGTATTTCGATCAAGTAGGATCAACAAAGATATACATAGAAAAAGTGCAAATATGGATATTTATTTTATATTTTTTTGTTTAAAAATGTTAATTTTATCCATTTTTAAATAAATACATCAATTTTTAATTTTTTTATTTAAAAATATTAATTTTTAATTTTTTTCGTTTAAGAATTAATTAGATACGGTGATATTGACATAGTTAATAGATTTTTTTACTAAGAATGTTCAATATCTTTATTTAAAAGTTGATATTTTTATTTAAAAATTAATAAAATCAATATCTTTAAATAAAAAAAATAAAATTATCATTTTTATTTACACCTCTTCTCTATAATTCTTTATCTATCACTCTTCAACTTAGTGTAGAATTCTTTAAAATGGTGAGTTTGTATTAAATTCGATCTATATAATAATTATATCAAAGTAATTTTGAAATACATTTTGTCTAAGTTATTTTCTTATCAATTAACTTGGTATAAGTTTCTTATTATCTTCTATGGGGAAATTCATTTCAAAATATAAGTTGATAGGCCAACGACCTAAATAATTTAATGGTTATCTCATTTCATTGAAAGTATAAGATATTGAATTCAACTCACATGACAGGCGGGTGGAATGAAATAAGAGACGTGAAATGATTGGCTCCGATTGTGCAACCAAGATAAATATATATATATATATATATATAAGTTGACAGAGTTATATTAAATAGTAAGATTTTGACCAATCTAAATGAATTTTGACAAATTGCGCATTATATTGACATATTACTATTTGTCATCTAATCACTAAAATTCTTAAATAAATACTCAGTTGCTCTTAACATGGTTGAATTTGCCTATAGTTGGAGATATACATATTTTTTTCTATTTAATGTGAAACTTTTATGGCAATAATTTTAGAGACTTAGGTTGCAATTAATATTATCGTGAATTGCTTTGACTGTACTATAATTGTAGTTGAAAGTTATTTTGGTATTTAGTTATATAGATGACATACAATACATATTTTCATAATAATTTAGGTTTTTAAGTTTTATATGATGAGTGTTTTTTGGGATTTTATAGAGGAGAAGCAAGAATGAATTTTTAATTTTTTATGGAATCTTTAAATAAATAAGAGGTTAGATTTAAATAAACTATTATAAATTATGGTGTAATTAAATTACACAAAATTAAATTTTAATAAGTAATTTTGTAATTATATTAAATAATAAATATTAGGTTGTCTATGAAAGCATGGCCAGAAAACTTCAAAATGAAATTTTTAGTTTTTTATATATAATTACTATAAATTTGTTGTAACTTTTTATAACTTTTGAAAAAAATAATTCAAAAAAAATTACTAAACTTATATATGTTTAAAAACATTGTACAACTATAAAAAAGAGCTCTCAGCTATGATTAGGAATGGCAACGGGTTCTCACAGGGGCGGGAATCTCCTTTCCATCCCCATCCCCATCAATGATGGGTACGGGGATTCCCACGGGGATTTTTGGCAAAGGATCAAAAATAGCCTCCGTTCCCATATCTGCGAGGAATGATAGGTCTTAATGGGTATTCGGAGTCCCCACCAAATAAAACTCGATGCTCATTTCTCATTTGATAAATTAACTGAAAATAGAATGAATTAAGAGTTTGAATGAGCCTCAAAATAACAATATAATTATCGTTCACTGCGAATGTGTGAAAGAAGCTGTGCAGGCATGTAAACAACAAAAATCGCATTATGACAATCTTGCAAACAATTGGAGGGAAAATGAAATCGGAAATAATAAGGCCAAAAAAATGAGATCTGCTCCACCTCAAAATAAATCATTAAGCACAAGTACTCAGATACTCATAAATACTCATAACTTAGGCTCAGACAAACTGCAAGTAGCCGATTGAAGAATAGAAACAAAGCTATAGGCACTGCCTTTTGAAGGTTGCCGAGAATGATAGGTTGAAGGGAATTGATTGATTGAAGAACAGAAACAAAGCCAGTGAGCTACAACGTAGAGGAGAGGAGACTGGAGTCTGGAGTCTGGAGTCTAGAGTCTGGAGAGGAGGAATCGTAGAGCAGATTCGCAAATCTCAAAAATTTGAAATAGTCCTTCTAGTTCTAGGGTTATTAGTAAATTGGGTTGGCTTTGGGCAATTAAGTTTAAGAAGATTATGGGTTAGGCTGGACTGGACTATATAATTGGGTTTGGAAAAACTGAAAAAAAAAAGAAAAAGGATTGATCAATTAATTAGGTTGAGTAAGTAAAAATCAATTGTTAATATATTTAAAAAAACATAGAAATAAATTTATTTATTTTTTATTTTATATGGATTTTCACGGTTCCCCACGAGACGAAAGAAATTCTCCACGAAATTTCACGGGAAAAAAATACCTCTATCCTCACCCTATGAGAAAGACTATTCTCAAAATTTCCATCCCCATGGCGGGGATATCCACGAAACTCTGCGGTTTGTGGAGGAAATTGCCATCTCTAGCTACGATCTTCAATGCACCCTTTCATTCCATAGGCAACATTACAATCATTAATTGTCTTTTTATCTTATTTTTAAAAAGAGATTTTCTAACATTATACAACCTCATTAATTATGATATCTAATTATGGTGTATGTAATTAATTTTGCATCAATTTTTATACAAGATTTATATTTTTTTACTGATTTCAATTACATAATATAAAATTTTGTGTAAAATTAATTACAAATATTGTAATTAATGAGTCTTCAGACATAGATTAAAAAATTCTTTTTAAAAATAACTGTTTTTTGATAAATAAAAAAAAGATAAATTTTAATAATTGATAATGGAGAGATAAATTATTAATATTTTTCATTAGTGATGTGCTTAAAAATTGTGTATAAATGGATGGTTACTAGTTTAGAATTTGTTGCCTCATTTAATATGTGTGGTTGGTATGCTTTGAGTGTTATTAGGTGTCTTTGTATTGTCCTGAGGCAATCCACCAATCTTTTGGCCAGGAAAGAACTAATTCATAATGTCAGTCCTGTTTTTCCTCCTCTTCCTCCCAATCCTTTTCTTCCTTCTTCTCAAGAACAAGGAAAAATCATTGAAAGGTTTCAATCTCCCTCCAAGTCCCCCAAAACTCCCCATTATAGGCAACTTGCATCAACTGGGGCATCTGCCTCACCAATCACTCCAAAAACTGTCCCAAAAACATGGCCCTGTCATGCTACTACAACTAGGTAGCAGACCTACTCTTGTAGTCTCCTCAGCCGAAGCAGCAAAAGATCTCCTGAAAACTCATGACTTGGATTGTTGTAACCGGCCACCTTCTCCTGCAGTAAAGAAACTCTCCTACAACTATCCAAACATATCATTTGCCCCAAACGGACATTACTGGAAGGAAATGCGGGCCATCTTTATTTCTGAGCTTGTGAGCATAAGAGTAAAATCTTTTGCATATGCAAGGGAGGCTCAGATTGATAAATTGATTTCCACTGTGTCTCAAGATCCCGCAATGCCAGTCAGTCTAGACCAGAATATGTTTTCTCTGGCAGTTGGAATCATCGGCACTGTTGCCTTCGGAAACATGTATGGAACAAACCTATTCAAGAGTGAAGAAATTCAAACTGTGATTACTGATGTCATGAACATGGTGTCCGACTTATCTGTGGAGGACTTATTCCCTTCAGTAGTAGGGCGGTTTGTAGATGCTTTGATAGGGGTCATTGCTAGGCGTGAGAAGAGTTTTCAAAAGCTCGACCAATTCTTCGAATTAGTGCTTGAGAAGCATCTTGATCCTGCCAGGCCTAAACCCGAGTAGGAAGATTTTGTCGATTTCTTGATTAAGCTAAAGGAAGAACAGAGTACCGGTTTCAGTATGACAAGAGATCATCATGTCAAGGGAGTTGTCTTGGTACATTCAGAATGGAGCATGTCTATAAATTCATGACTGCCTATATCTGTCTAGGTACCAACCTTCATCTTTTCTTTTTAATCATTTCCGGACGCATTTCTTGGCGGGATCAACAGTACTGTTTATGGGCAATATTATGGGCAATGTCAGAGTTGATCAAGAATCCAAGAGTCATGAAGAAGGTCCAATCCGAAATAAGAAGTTGCATCGGAAAGAAATCAAAGTTGGATGATGATGATGTTGCAAAGCTCAAGTACCTAAAAATGGTGGTTAAAGAAACCTTTAGGCTACATTCAGCATTTCCCCTGTTAGGCTGTTACTTCCTTATGAGACAAGTGGCCAATGTAAAATTGGTGGATACGATGTCTTCCCTGGTACAAGAGTTTTTGTTAATGCATTTGCCATTGGCAGAGATCCAAATTCTTGGAGAAACCCAGATGAATTTTGTCCGGAGAGATTCGAAGACAGTGATACTAACGGCAAACAATCGGGTTTTGACCTGCTGCAATTTGGAGCATGGCGACGAGGGTGCCCTGCAGGCTATGCCTTGGGAGCCAAAAATGTCTAGTTTGCTCTCGCCAACCTTCTCTCCTGCTTTGATTGGAAGCTACCTGGGGAAATGACGAAGGATGATTTTAGCATGGAAGAAGGTGGAAGGCTGATTATTCATAGGAAAACCCCGTTTGTTCTTGGGCAGGTAATGAGTAAGTGCCCATGAGAAAATGTTGCTTTCCCCTGTTCGCTACTCAGGGGAAAGGTGGAATCATGTATTCCATTTCTCAAAATAATTGTTTCTTTATTTTTATTATAAATTAAGGATTTAAGAATAATATTTGTATTTATTTATAATATTTTTAAAAAAATAAAAAAATAAAAAACTTTTTGTAATTAAATAATTAATTAAGGTGAATAAATAATAATAGAATTAAAACAAGAAAAAAAATATTTGTTTATGTTAAAAAATAAAAAATTATAATTAATTTAAAATAAATTTAAAATAAAAAATGACATTTATTTTAAAAAAAAGTATAAGTTTTGAGTTCTTATTGATTGTCTTTTTTTTTTTTCTTTTCTTATTAATAAAAAATAATTTGAACTTTTATTCAAGAGTACATCTTATATAGAGTTTAGCGTTTTGTAGACTTTTTTTTAATTAGGGTAATGATTAGAAAGTTAGTATGAGTTAGTCATTAGCAACTGAGATTTCCAGAATAATGAACATTCCACCCCTCAAATGAGGTGCGCGGCCATTAGGCCGTAAGTTGATGGAGTTCACGGTGATGGCAGGGCTCGAAGCCCTGACCTCCACCTCACCCAAGTCCTAAGGCTTGGGGGTGAACCATTGGGCCACAGACCCGGTTCGCTAACGTTTTGTAGACTTAATTGTATGAAAATGTAAAATATTAATCATTGTATTAGAAGTTTACACCTATTATAAAGAACCTTCCATCATTTCTCATTTATAATTAAGGCCAAAGCCCCTATTTGCACCCTCCATTTAATTCTTTTCCGTGGTCAATACCTTCCAGAATTTTTCCTCCATATTCACACCTTCCACTTTTCAAAACCCATGAAAAACCCAATATTTTAACCCACCGTCATGGCACCGTTAATAACCATTAAAAATTATAATACGTGACATCAAACAGTAACATGAACGTTATGTCATCTTATTAATCCAATGTGGACTTTTTTTTTATGATATGGCATAATTAAACCATAATTAATTTTAATTTCTTCTTTTTCTTCTTTCCCGGCATCATCTTCACCATCCTCGTCCTCGTCCTCATCCTCCTAGGTTCCTCGCGAAACTCAAGTTTTGAGTTCTTCGTGGAACCTAATTTCACATAAATGCCTACCAAGCTAAGATTTTCATCCACACAATTATAAGTAAATGAATACTGCACAAAAATATGATAAGCATCTTCTACTCATTTCCCACAAAAAACGAAAAAAACTCAAATTGGCAACCTGTTCATAAACAATCTCCAAGCAAAAAACTCACCTTTCCAACAAAAAACTTATTCCAAATTGCTTTGCATAAAATAGGAAACTAAGATAAATACATTCAAAATGAAAAAATGAAAAAAAAAAACAAATGTCGAAACCCAGAAACTGGGTTCCTCGCTCGGAACCTAGATTTGGGTTCCCTGCGCAGGAACCCAAAATGGGTTCTGTGCAAACCCAGAATCTAAGTTCCCCGTGAGGAACCCATTGAGATGGAGGATGGTGAAGATGATGCCGAGGCTGAGGGGAGAAAGAAAAAAATGAAGAAATGCCATTTATGTTACTGTTTGGTAATATTATAATTTTTTGTTGCTCTCACCGCACACGTGGCATCCACGTGTGCAAAAAAGAAGCCACATCATCAAAAAGCAGATCCACATCTGAACTTGACGAATAAGAAAACGCCGCATGTGCCATATCAATTTTTGGGTGCCATGTAGTGCATTTTTTAACGGTGTCGTGACGACTCCTTAAACTATTTGGTTTTTCATGGGTTTTGAAAAGTGGAAGGTGTGAATAGTCAGGAAAAATTCTGGAAGGTGTGAATAACGAGGAAAAATTCTAGAAGGTGTTGACCGCGAAAAAAAAATAAATGGAGGGTGCAAATAGGGGCTTTGGCCTATAATTAATGTTTTACCGTTTGGTGCTCATGGAAACACCTGTTTTATTACATATATATTATTATTCATTTTAGGTAATAATGTAAC